CCCAGCACCGGGGGGAGCTGGGGCTGGCGTTGGTTTGGGGGATGCCATGGCATACTTAGCTACCCCCAACGGCAGAGGCAGGCGGCACACAAAAGATTTTGTCGAGCACTTTTCGGGCAACAAAAGCCGGAAACAGTCGCCGAGAGCAGCTGGAGCAGGAGGCGGAGGCACGCGCAGGAGCAGGCCAAGGGGAGCAGCATCGTCTACATCCTCTCAAGTGCTTCCTCGGTCGTGCTGCGGCTGCGGCTCCTTCTCAGCATGCAGCCAGCGATGTGGCCGCGCAGCCAAGCGCAAGGACATCGACAACGACGACGACGACGACGGCGACTTAGCTGCTGGCAAGCTGCCTCTGCTCCTGCCAGTCCTCCTCCTCGGGCATGCTGATCACGTTTATTTATTGTGCACATAATATGGGCGCACATCCTTGCTACATCCTTGCCGCCGTCTCCGTGCTTTTCTCGACTGCTCCTACGGCTACGTGCGACGCATGCATCGCTGGACACGCTGCTGCTGGCTCGGCTCGAGTTTTTCCTCATTTTCTTCTTGTTTTGCTCGTTTCTCTTTCACGTTTTTTCTGCCCTTTTTGTTTTTCTATTCCTGCACAGAAATTCAATTATCGTGAATGCGAATTTTTGCCCGATTCGAAATCCGATTCCGCTTCGCATGTTTTGTTTCAAGCATCGCCAGACTCGGCGAACTTTCAGCGTATCAGCATTTTATTTGCTGTTGATTTATGCAATGCCACCGCCCCCACCTCGCACTCTTCCCACTGAGCACCCTCCCGGGTGTCCCCAGCTCAGCGCACGGTGCTCACTCAAACAATCGCTGCCGGCAGCGCTGTTGAATATTTGCCAAGTATGCTGATTGAATTTTTTCCAGTTGACTAAATGATATCAAGGATATTTGCCAAAGCAGCGCTCTGTGCCGCCTCCAGAGCGGCGTCTATTTTAAAGGCATGCTGAGCGCCGCTCTAGTTGAGCTTTAGTTGCGGCTCTGATTACATAGAGAAGGGCGGCTGCATTGGCTGGAACATTGAGCTGTGGAGCATTTGGCTGTGTGTCTGTACTCAAGTGCTCTTCTATGCAATTTTCACGACTTCAAGTACTGCTAAGAGCATTTTGATATTATTCTGTCGTCTGTTTATGTGTTTCGAGTCTCCCATTCTCTGCCTCTCTTTCTCTAATAGCCATTCGCTTACTCTTAACACATATTCTCGCACTCTTTTGTGTTATTTCCCTCTCGATCTTTGTATCCTTTGCATTGACTCTCTTGGGCATATCTAGCTTTCCATTCTCCCATTTTCGATATTTGCGTTCTCTTAAATTCAAAATATTCTTTCCCTCTCTCTCTTTCTCGCTCTTCAGTTTGTCAGTCTCCCTTTTTCTTCAATCACACCCTATCATACTCTACACTGCCTCTATCTCTCTTTCGCTTTCACTCTATCTATAACGTTATTTCTCTGTTTCTCTCTATCTCTCTCTCCTTCTCTGTTTCTCTCTATCTCTTTCTCTCTCTGTTTCTTTTACTTTCATTTCGTCCTACATTCTTCCGCTACCTCTCCCCTTTCAGTACCCTTTCATATCCCTCGCCTTACATATGCCTAAATTTGCCTTCTCCATCTGTCTCTCTCTCTCTCTCTCCCTCTCACTCACTTGCTCAGTTTATATGCTCTCTGCAAACGCCTCTCCTTGTGATATTCAAAAATGCAAATCTAATTTAGAGCTATACTCATGTGAAGTATTAAGGTCAGGTCTTCTGATATCAGCTGCGCTTAATGACAACAATCAAGGATTGGCTCTGCTCACAGTCAGAGATATGCATTGACACATATAGGGAAGTTGATTGATATCAATATGCAAGCTTTGACAGCGTGTCAATTGACAGATACTTGACTTGACTTGACGTGGCATATGCGACACATGCGGAGAGTTGCAATTAAATTGCAATTTGCTGCTCATTCAGCCACACACGAAGCAAACTGCACAGCTAAGCATTATCCTGGCTGCCATCCTTGCAGTTTGTCGTTGCTGCCGATGATACGCGCCGAGGCAGGACAGGGCTTGGCGTGAGAGTATTATCAATTTCCAATATTTAGACAGGCAACTAGTAATAATCACGTTTGCTCAGCGTCAGACCAAGCAGCAGCATGCGAACTATGTGAGTGTCCTGCCATCGCCGAGTCCTGCCGAGCGACGCGTGGGCGTAATTAACACTTGACGCCCGTGCAGCAAATCGAGCGTTTTAAACTGCACAAATGCTGCTACGAAGTAGCAACGAGTGCATTAATTAATATGCCCAACATGCAGCAGGCTCCTGGCACTCCGGCTCCTGGCACTCGGCCTGGCTACGTTGGGGTTGCCATAAAAGGCGTTAAATTGACACAATTGAACACACCCTTGAGATTTGTGTGCGGGCGGCATTCTCCCTCTCCCTCTCTCCCTCCCCATCTCTATCTTCCACTTGTTGTTGCTGCTGCTGTTCATCGAGTGCGTTTAATCGGAAGTGCTAACATCTTCATCGATGGCGCATTATGGCGACAACTGGCGATAAAAACTGTGAACAGCTTGCCTAAATACCAAAATCACGCAGCCAGACAATTGACAGATATCTGGCGCTCCACTCCCACTTCAGCTCCCCATCGCCCCTCGCCTGCTCTGAGCCAACTCTGTTTGGGCCATGCAAATATGCGTATGCGTAACAATTGATATTTTGGGCAAATACTCGCATGTGAGCAGCACCGAACGTGACATGCTTAATGGAGGAGGAGGAGGGTCACAGCCCCACATAAATGGCTCCAAGTGGATGCCTGAAGAGCTCTTCAGCTTTATGTATTTTGCTTAATATGTAATAATATTTATATATATTGTAAATATGTTTTTGGATAATGAACTAATTGTGTAGAATGTTTAGATACAAGTAAGAAACAACAACAACTTGAGGTACATCAATTTGAGCCTTGATAATGCCTATATTATTGTTGATAGCACATCCAAGTTCTTTATTATAAGGCTTTAAGCATTAAGTTCTTGTATCTCATTTAACAATTGCTTTAGCCTCGACTAAGCAGCCCATCTGCCCCATCGGATGATCAGCTTAAATCTAAAGCAATTTGGCTCGTGGCATTGCTTTGCATTCGGAGTGCTACTCGGTTTTTGTGCTGGCCATCAAAACTGTTTCAATTGCTGCCTCTGAGCAAGCGACTGTCAAAACAGGCAAACAAATTGTGCAAATAAGTCGAGCGAATGTTATTTATGCGCAGACAATTTCTCAGTGATTAAATAACGAGAGACAGGAGAGAGAGAGAGAGAGATACAGAAATCGAATCGATTCGCGATCGAATTACAAATAGTAAAATGACATGAAAGACTAGATATATACATATATATGTATATAGATCGGGAATCGGCTGGCTGAGTTAAATGGCCTGGAGGTGTGCATGCCAATTGTCATGCGCTGAAATGCTTGTTAACAACAGCGATTGCTTTTGCCGTTCCAGCTCCCACTCGTCGTCGTCTCTCTGGTTGCTTTTTAATCAAAGCTGGAGAAGCAGCTACTCCTGCTGGCGGACTGGTGTGCGGTGTGGAGCGAAGTGGAGTGCTGCTCCTCCCCCGTGGCAATAACGCCACACATTTGTAATGTTGCTTCTGTTTTCTGCAGTTCCAGTTCGAGTTGCAGTTGAAATCGCGCTTAGAAGCATTTTACAAGTTACTTTAAGGCAATCAATTTGCGGCCCAAGCAGCTGGGGCTCCAAAAGGTGCAGGCAGGTGGCTAAGCAGGGGAAAAAAACCAATCAAAAGAGCGTTGCGAACGCAAATTGAACGCCAAATGGCTGCAAGATGATATTTCAATACGTGCAACAGCAGCAGAAGCAGCAGCAGCAGCTCAGTCTCTCGGCTCTTGGTTCTTGGTTCTTGGCTCTGGCCCAAGTCCACGCTCAACTCGAAGGGGCCATAAATTATGTGAACGGGCGACGCCTGCGCGTAGTTGCTTACTTTTTTGCAGTTATGATTATCGCGCTTCCAGCTTCCACAGAGAGCGAGCGAGTGTAGGGGAAGGGTGCTGCAGAGGCAGCGGGAGCGGAAGCTGCAGCCGTTGTTGTGTGCAAACAAATGTAAAAAATTTTTAATTGACTTTTGGATTTGCGCCACCGCGCCAACAGTTGCAGCACTTCTTTTTATGGCCACTCGCGTGCATGCAGCTTAAAAGTTAATAAAACACGCCCAATGATAACAAGACGCAAACCACAGACAGAGAGAGAGAGAGAGAGAAAGAGAGAGAGAGAGAGAAAGAGAGAGAGAGAGAGACAAACCGACAGCTATACAGCCAACATATTTTGCCCCTGAGGTCTTCATCATCGGCATCATGATGAGGTTGGAAACATTGTGATCCTTGGCCAGCTCGTAGAAAAACAATCAATTAAGCGCGCAAGTAGCTGACACAGAAGGAGCGCCAGTTGCCAGTTGCCAGTGGCACGACTCCAACTCCAACTCCAGCTCCAATGCCAATATGAATCCAATACGAATCCAATCCGACTCTGATGCGCATTGCCTTGCGCCGTGGCCAACGGCGGCGATTGGCGTTTTATGGCCAGTTTTGCTAAAATTTATGTTACATTTTTATAGTTCAGTGTAAATTGACTTTTAAAATGTAAAATTTATCATAGCAAACGGGCCGTTGCGGTGCACCAAACGCTTTTTAATTGCTTTATTTTCGCATAGGTCGCATAGGTGGCAACGCTGCCAGCGACAAAAAAGCTTCCGACCAAAAGCTCACGAGATAAACATCTGCGTGTTTTCAAGCACACCAAAAAAAAACAGCCCTTGACGCGCTATAAAGCTTTTTGGGGTAGTCAAAGAAGCCTTTTTGTTCGATTTTCAGAAAAGGCAAACAAAAATATTTCTTATAAATATAGAATTTATTTTGTATAATGCTAAACTAAGGTATTTAAAGTTATCCGAAAAATCAAGTAGCTCTTCTAACTCCCTCGCTACTCCACCCTGTTAGAGCCCACAGCTGTGTCGGGAAAACAAACAACTGTTAAGCTTTTCAAGTATCACAACAGACCTTGGTGCCGTTTTCTTATGCGGTCCCACAAAAGCTTTTATCAAGTTTTGGGCCCACGATATATCTCGCGTGCATGTGTGTTGGTAACGCGCCCCAATCTACCCCAACCCTTCTGAAGCTTCTTCCATTTGGATGACGAAACACAGTCGCGAGTCGCGAGCAGCAGCAGCAGCAGCTAAAGTTAAAAGTCGCCTAGGGAAAAAATCCATAAATTGATTGTGCCACGGTGTAAACAATAGAAATTAACTTAAGGAAAAACTCTGGAAAATCATGCTGTTGCCCACGATCCGAACGGGTGTCAAGTGGAGTTGGCGCCAGACCTGGGACATGCTGATGTCGCCCGTCTCCCCGCGCAATCTGCGCACCACAGCGCTGCTGACGAGCATCTACCAGCTGGTAAGCTTAGAGATAATCGACAACTGGTCTACTTCGCCTCTCTTTCTCTTATATAATGTATTCGATTATGTGGGGCTCAGCGCACGGACTGCCGGCACGCAGAGAGCTCTCCGCTATCCGGCCGCCTCCATCGTACAGCCTACCTTAGCCCCAAAAACAAAAATTACGCACTGGATATGCAAAGCCATACCCCACTATGCACGCTTGAACCCATCGAAGGCGGCAATTCGACGCACGCCCCCGCCCACAACGAGCGTAGGAACGAGCAAACGGCATAATGCGTCCGCACCATTTCTCGTAAAACACGGAATGTGCTGAAGACGAGCGCCCTTTTTAATAACTCTACTGCGAAAATGAGCTGCATATGGCTACACTCAATGCTAAAACCGGTTGAGAATTTTTGGCGCATATGCTTTGCTGGCACATTCGATGGCATTAAATAGAAATTTGACAACACTGCACAGATCAACAGAGTTGCCTGTAACTACAATCCTTTTTAAAGTACTTAATGCCGTTATCATTTGACACTGCAGCCTCGGTTTATTTATAGCACTTGTTTATAGTCAATTTACATGCTCTCTTCTTCTTCCTCTTCGCTATTTCTCTTTCCAGCTCATTGCGCACTCGATATTATTTGTTGTGCTTCTTTGTCTGGCGCATGCGGAGCAAATGCGTAATCTGCTCGACATGGATATATTGGATCAGAAGGATAGCGGATTCTATACCATTCACAACGATATGCGCCTGAAGACTGCTGCTCAGCTGGCGGATGCTACCGAAAATGCACTCTATGTACTATCCGGCATTGCCAGCGTTTATGCTTTGAGTGCCATAGCCCTATTCTTTGGCGTGTTCAAGAATAAGCCCGGCCTGATAATACCCTGGCTGGTTATTGAATTTCTGGGCGCTATCGCTGTGGCTGTCATTATATTCATGCTGAAGGATACAAAGTTACCCATGCTATTTGGCGGACAGTGCGCTTATTGTAAGTTAATTGGAGAAATTTTAACCTTCTGATTTCTGAGCTAATATTCGATCCCATTCTAGTAATCATCTGCTATACCATGCTCTTGATGGATGGTCTCAAGTGGTATATCATGCATAGCTTCTATCAAAGTCTACGCACAATGAACAAACTGCGAGAGATTGCAACTGTGGCTATACCCTGTCCAGCGCCGGGCGCTGTGAGTATAAATCTACACCCCAATACACCACATACAAAATCTAAGCAACTTCACCATTTAGGTACCCTATCAGTACCGCAGAGAGCATATGTATTTGGGCAGCAATGGCTATAAGCATATATTGACTGAGTCGCCGGATGGACAATGTTAAATAACGTTTACTTAAAAGACGAAAGAAGAAAAAAAAAACTTCGACTATATACGAATAATTCATACACTCCTACCCCTCCCCATACCACCAGCATCAAAACTTCCAGCATCAAGTGTCTTAAATAATTTTTGCAATCTCATTATTTTTCTTGTTTTTTGGAACGTGTGTGATATGGTATAAAGAAACAGAGATAACTATTTTAGATAGCGAATGCAACGAGAAGGATATATTAATAGAAACATTATATATATACTATATACATATATTCTTATGGCAATATATACACATGCATACGTACATTATTCAAACACTAGCAATATATATTACCGTATGCTAGATACACACAGAAACTATTTTCAATGTAGTGCTTGAAAATCTCACTTTAATCTTTAAACTACTCCGTTTAGTAGCTGTAAACAATTTTACTTAATTTAAATAAACAAACACTAAAAAAAAAAAATTGAAAAGATATTTTTTCAAAAAAGGTGTATGGCAGGATTTGAACCTGGGCTCTCGATGTTCTTCGCGGCGAGTGCTTCTATGCTGAGCTATCACTGAGCAGGCCGCTGTGGTTGATATATGCAAATATCTTAGCATACCAACTGTATTAAGTACGACGTTTTGTATACTTGTCTCATTTGCACACATTAAGTTGACTGCAAGTCATTCCCATTGGCTAGTTAAATTTGTACGTTGAATTCAAATATAAAATCAAGTATAAAATGAATATTGATTGATTTTTGATCATTTTTCTTTACTTTATTTTCCTCTTTTTTACGGCACAAAAACATAATTTAAAGCTTTAACAAAAGTAACGCTTGCAACAAAATTTTAAAAGAAAGAAAATTGTTTAAATTTGGCCATATTCTTATTGATTTTTAGTTTATACATATATATAAAGTTGCTCTTATACTATGCTATTCTAATGTTGTTTATCTTTCGTGTTGATTTTTTGTTTGTTTGTTTTTACTTTGTTTTTTAGCTTTCATTTACCTTGACCTATTTTAGCCCTTTCGGCCGCGCCCCGATCGGTTGACTGTTGTAGGGATTGCTGTTGTTGTTGTGGATGGTGTAGCTACAGTGCTCGAGGCACCGAGTAAGGTCATGTCATTGCTTAAGCTATCCATCAATAAATCGACCACCGTCATATTCGAGTTGCCATCTCCGTCTCCCTTGTCCGTTGGAATGCTGATCTGGAACTGTAGCAACACTACCAAATAGGTGACCATAGTGGTTAGCAGTCCCTTGAATAGAGTACGATTTACATCAAAGAAGCCGCCACAATTAATATTCGAAGGATTCATTTCGGTTGCACGCAGAAACATATTAATCTCTGTCTGGGCATCCGAATTCATCCAGTTGAGCTCAACCATCAGCAGTTTCTTTTGGAAATTGGTTCGGACATTCACTGAGGCATAATGCGCTTCATCGCATATATAGAAGAGTAAACCTATATTCCAAAGGGCCGTTATGGTCAATCCTATATCCTTGATGCCGAATCCCTCTGAGAGCTGTGACATAAGTCCATAAATCGACAAAGTTATGATAAAGAACAAATAGAGACTCATGAACACAAAAGTGTAGCATAGAGCATTGCCTGTATCGCGAGTCAGCTTGCTCAAACGCAGCCAGAGGACACGATAATCAGCCACCATGGCAGCCGGACCAATATGCTTTAAAGCCTTCTGGAAACGTTCCGCCAGCAGATAAGCCGTGGTGCTAATTGCCTCGCAGATCAAAAACCACCAGGCGCCCAGCATAGCTGTCAGGTTGTCCAATATACAATACGGCACCACCTGGTTGAGATTCAAATCCGACATTGTTATGTGTGTGATGACAACAGAGAGTATCGAAAGTATTGGCAGCACGATGGCAATGTAGACTGCCTTCTGGCGAAGATTTAATGGCAAACTGTGACCAGAGATTTGATAGTAGAGCACCTCAAAGTCATCCCAGTCATTGAACAAACGAGCGATCTTCCTTGCCTCCCACCAGAGAATCGGAATAACGATAATCGGTAGGATATTCACCAGGAATAGATACGCAATGACGGCCTCCTCGAAGGGTCCACTAAGGGAGCGCACAGCATGAATACGATTGTTGGCCACATAGCCCACATAGAACTGAATCGAATGATTAATCCAGAAACTGTTCGTTTTCAAACTTGGAAAAACTCACCGCTAGCAGCATAAAGAAAACAACCGAATAAATAAAAGCAGCTGAATTTAGAGCAAATTTAGCTCGAGAAGGACCTCGTCGTACCATGGGTAGGACGCCAATGATGCGCAGAAACCAATTAACCGGAGCGATATTGCGATAGAAAACGCTCTTGAAAAATAGACTACATTAAAAATTGCAAATCAAAAATAATAATTTCTGACCTACCGGTGTAAAATCTGGATTATTGGAGGCAATTGTGCTGACTGAGCTTCGTTTTCCATCATTGGGTGGCGGTATATAATCACTGTCTAAACGCTCAGCCAATCCAATGGAATATTTCCTTACGCCATGTAAATAGGCCTGTGCATTTCCACTGTTTATGGGCTTGGAATTCAAGAATACCATGTCCGGTTTCTTGCGTCTATAATAGCTGGCCATTGTTCTTGAACTGTGAGTATTTTTGATACGTTGGCCAGTGCCTTGGGCTCAGTCATGGTTATTAAAAATGCATTTAACCTCGCCCTCTATTTGCTTCTTATTGTTTGCATTGTGAGACCAACTTGAGTTTCCTGTTGATTTCCTTTGTTTATCTTTTGCATGCATTAACCTTAACCAAGTGTCCCAATTTCAAATTAATGCCAATGCGCGCCTAAACTATTTTATTTTTGTTACCCAACACTGTTCAGAACAGTATCTGTCACGCTTCGTATTAAAACCATAATGATATAAATGTCATGCCAAAAAAGCTTCATGTTTATGTCAGTATTAATATCAAAGTTAATATTTATTTAGTCATTAATTACAGCGATAATGCTGAAAGCTTTGCTTTTAAATCATTGCCCCAGTAAAAGTTATAAATACCATTACTAGCCATCTCTGGTCAGGGGGACTATCGATTACAACGAGTACTATCGAACAAGTTATAATTATCGATGCATTGATTGAAGTACATCGCTATATTTCTAGAACTTGCAAAACGAAAGGCCGATTAGACAAAAAAAGTAAAATTGCATTGCAAAAATGGTTGATTATAGCAAATGGAAAAACATTGAGGTGAGTGCAACTAATGTAAATCTAATAAATATATTGAATGTATTCATAATTGTTTACAGATTTCCGACGATGAGGACGAAACACACCCAAACATAGACACGCCTTCGCTTTTTCGCTGGCGGCATCAGGCTCGAGTCGAGCGCATGGCTGAAGCGGAGAAGGAAAAGGAGGAGTTGAAGAAAAAGAGACAAAGCTTCCAGGCGCGTCTAATGGATGTGAAGGAGCGCATCAGCAAAAAAGAGGGTGACGAGGCAGCTCTTAAGGTAACTAAGAGACCGGCTCTTATATACATGTTATAAGCATTACTAATGTGAATAATATTGCAGCTGGAATTAGAAAAGATCGAAAACGAGGGCAAGGCACTTGATCGTGAGGAGAACGAGCTGCTGAAGAAAGAGAAAAAAATGCCATGGAATGTTGATACAATAAGCAAACCAGGTTTCGAAAAGACGGTGATCAATACAAAGCCTGCACGCTCTGCAGATGAAAACCTGACCGAGGAGGAGCGCGAGCAGCGCATGAAAGAGTTCATTAAAAAGAATGAGCAACTGTGCAAGCAGTACGGCATGCTGCGCAAATATGACGATTCCAAACGCTTCCTGCAGCAGCATGTAGAGCTGGTGTGTGAGGAGACAGCAAACTATTTGGTCATTTGGTCCATCAATCTGGAAATGGAGAAAAAGCACGATCTGATGGCTCATGTGGCGCATCAGTGCATCTGCATGCAGTATATATTGGAGTTGGCAAAGCAGCTTGACCGTGATCCGCGTGCTTGCTTCAGCTCGTTCTTTTCCAAAATCCAACAATGTGATCCCGAGTACCGACAGCAGTTCGAAAGCGAAATTGAAGGCTTTAAGGAACGCATTCAAAAGCGGGCAGAGGAGAAGTTGCAGCAAATCATTGCAGAGGTGGAAGAAGAGGAGAAACGGGAGCGCCTGGGACCAGGCGGCTTAGATCCTGCCGATGTCTTTGAATCCCTGCCAGATGTACGTTTAAAGAGAAAGTTGTACAATAGTAACTTCAATAATATCAAATCTTTCCTTACAGGAACTAAAAGCTTGTTTCGAGTCACGCGACGTTGAGCAGCTACAGAAGATTATTGCCACCATGCCAGTGGAGGAAGCTAAGTATCATATGAAACGCTGCGTTGATTCTGGTCTTTGGGTACCAAATGCTGCTGACGCGCCTCAGGAGGAGAATGAAGCAGAGGCGAAGGCCGACGATTCGGCTGACACTGCAAAACCAAAAGCAACAGAAGATTCAAAGGAGAAGGATAAGTCCAAATCTAAAGAGGAGCCGATATATTCTGGCGTTAGCACCGATGACCTCGACTGATCCGTTCCATCAGCGCTCTTGTTGCTTGTTTACACTATAAGTTTAATTTTAATATAAATCTGCCTACCCCCACTATTGAGTTGATAACGTTCAGTTTGTATATACATACATACATTGAGAAACGATACCTCAAATCAAATTCTTAGTAAACTGTGCGTGCATTTTCAAATAATAACCAAGCTATCCACTAACATAATCTCAGTAAAAATCGTTTTATTTAGTTTAACTATCTAATATTTATCGAGTATGAATCGTCCCGAGTTGGACTATTACGCCGTGCTGGACATTCCACGCAATGTCACCAAAGAACAGATCACCCTGGCATATCGACGCATGGCTGTACGCTTGTGTCCACACAGAGATAAGAAATATGAGCTGGATTTCGTGCCACTAGCCCAGGAGGGCAGATTGACGCATTTGTCTCCAATGGCGGAGACCAAGCAGTGGGCGTACATCAATATGGCATATGATGTGTTGGGTAACGAGCTGTATCGTGCCATCTATGATCGCTACGGCGAGGCAGGCCTATTCGAGGGGGTGATGCTGCCGAATGGCTACTTTCCACCATATCAATACCATGGCGATCACATGGAGGTGTACGAACGTGTATTCTCCAGCTATTCGCCATACGCGAATGTTATTGATGCCATTACGAATCCACCTAGCTTGTATGCCACGAGGGAGCATGGGGTGGGAGTGCGACACAAGGATGCCAATACGGAACGTATTATACATTTGTCATTGGAGGAGGTACGCACGGGTTGTGTGAAGCTGATGCATGTGTGGCGTCAGGAGATTGTCGACGCTAAAGAGTCCCGTCTGGAGAAACGCAAGCACACACTTAAGCTCATCATACAGCCGGGCACGACGGCCGGTACGCGCTATTGCTTTAAAGAGGAGGGTGATCGCTATCCGACGACCATCCCAGGTGACATTATATTCATTGCCGCCGACAAGCCACATCCGATATTTGAGCGGCGCAACATGCATGACCTGGTCTATCGCTATGACATCAATCTGGCTCAGGCCTATACGGGATTCATATTCTTCGTGAATACCCTAGACAAGCGACAGTTAAAGATCGTTATATCAGATGTGGTTACTCCGGGCTACCAGAAGATTGTGCCACTGGAAGGGTTGCCCAAGTGCCGTAATTTGGATGCTGTGAATGCAATCAAGCAAGCCAATAAACGAATTGAGGAGTTTGGTGATCTTATAATAGAGTTTAATTGTAAATTGGCTAAACACCTAGCAAGCAAACAGCTAACTATTTAACGGTCTATTTACAGATATATTTCCAAGATATTTGACACCACAAATGAAGAAATTGACACGTGAATTCTACCAAGAGTTTCGCAAATTGGAAATGGAACTTGAAGAGGAAGAGCGCATTCAGATGCAGGGTACATAATATTTCAATTTATTTATTGTGAAAATAAAAATTGTCTGTAGTTCAGCGTGAGCAGCATACTAAGCGTGAAGTATCAGTGGCGCGGTTTTAGGGTATCGACAGTGGTCGGTGGTATCGATTAGCTCATTACATATCGATAGGCTATTCATTTTTACGAACAGGTAAAACAGCATAATTAAAAAACAGCTAGTAAAACAACAAAGAATAATTATTTGTGCTAAATAACAAGTAGATAAAATTGTATATCCATTGCAGTCTATTTGAATTCGCCTTATTTTCGACTAAAGAAACGACAAATTGTTCTATTCGAATAACGCAGTGTTATTTTGCTCCATAATTCAATTACTGACACCTGTGCAGTACGCCCCTCCCCCTCTCAATCAAGCTTAATACGGAAATTCCAGCGCTACGCTCGAGTGCAAGTGGAGGCTGGCTGGCTGACCGCACCCACAACTAACGGTACGAAATGCACCTGAGTGCCGATATTTCCAGTGCCCTACAGCAAATTGAGGCTGTGAAAAAGGGCATTGAGGAGTCGGAAGATGCCAAGCTGCAAATGCAAACGGCGGATAGTTTAAATACGATAATGGGCATATTAACGGATCCCGTTTTTCGCACCATTGCTCATGTTCAGGAGTCATTGTACGAGCTGGGCATACAGCTTGGCCAACATCCGTCCATGTTGCCGAACGACTTCGACATTGATGTTTCGGGAAATTTGGTGCTCAGCCTGAACGGTGGCGATGTCATGTACGATTCGTCAGCCCCGGCCAGTCCGGACAAGTCCAGTTCCACTGGCGGCGACGTGGAGCAACGTCCACAAAGTCAAAATTCGAAGTCAGCTGCTGCGGATCTGTACGCCACAGACTATGCCCAGATCCAGGCCATTGAGCTGGTCAACGATGGCACAGGTCTGGGTTTCGGTATCATTGGTGCACGCAATTCGGGCGTTATCGTGAAGACCATTCTGCCAGGGGGCGTGGCCGATCGTGATGGTCGCTTGCGCTCTGGAGATCACATACTGCAGATTGGTGATGTGAACCTTCATGAGATGGTCTCTGAGCAGGTTGCTGCAGTGCTTCGACAATCGGGCACCCATGTGCGTCTTGTTGTGGTGCGTCCGATTGAGCAAAACTTGCCTACGCCACAATATGCCTTGGAGCCGGGCAGCGCCGTGGTGCCTACGCGTGTGCTCAGCGATCCTGCCGAGCTGGAGCGTTATCTCATATCAACTGGCTATCCGGAGATATTTGGCGAGAGCTCGACGGCCTCAACGCCACAAACAACAACGGAGGATGAGCGCTTTGTGTATCGTGGAGAGACATCGATGCTAATTGATCCCAGCATCGATTTGGACGAGCTCTTGGCCTTGCCGGAAACAGAGAAGTTGCAGGTGGAACTGAAGAAGGATGCGAATGGCCTGGGCATCACGATTGCTGGTTATGTTTGCGAAAAGGAAGAACTTTCCGGAATCTTTGTAAAGAGCGTCTCTCCGGGCTCAGCGGCTGATCTGAGCGGACGCATACGCGTTAACGATCGCATCATCGAGGTGGATGGCCAATCGCTACAGGGCTATTCCAATCATCAGGCTGTGGAGCTGCTTAAAAAGTCTGGTCAAGTGGTAAATTTGCGATTAGAGCGTTACCTACGCGGCCCCAAATACGAGCAGCTGCAGCAAGCCATTGCTGCCAATGCCAACGAAAAGCTGCCTACCAGTTCACCAGGCACGCCCTCTCGTGCGCCTTTGCCCCCACCCACAGTCACGCCTTCGTCAATGACAGCTAGCAGAGAGGCAGAGGATGAGACGCTGCCTGCACCGGAAGCCTTTATGATGACCACGCCGCCTTCGAGCTCTCTGGCTACCACCACCACGCTGAGCAGCTTTGGTGCGGGCAAGCAGTTGTTGGCTGTGCGTGATTCTCTAGAAGGAGCGTCTAAGATTGTGGCCACAGACGTTGTAGCTGATAAGCAGGAAGTACTTATTTATATATAATCTTTATACATAATAGATATCTCATTTCTCTCCCTGTTCGCAGGCAGCTGTGCACGCAAAGAACTCGAGCATTATAACACGCCACAAGTATTACATGGAGCCAGAGTTGACCGAGGAAATGGAGGCGGAGATCGTACGCAAATGGCAAAAGATAGTGGGCAACGATATGGAGGTAATTGTGGCGCAAATCAAAAAGTTTGCCGTTGGCGGTTTGGGCATCTCCTTGGAGGGCACCGTCGATGTGGAAGGTGGTCGAGAGGTGCGCCCACATCATTATATACGCTCGATACTGCCCGATGGGCCGGTCGGAGTGAATGGTGTGCTTCGCTCTGGCGATGAGTTGTTGGAGGTCAATGGCGAGCGACTTTTGGGCATGAACCATCTGGAAGTTGTGGCCATATTGAAGGAGCTGCCATTAGATGTACGTATGGTGTGTGGACGCAGCAAGGGGACTTCGTTGCTGCCCTTCTCGGATGATACGCTCAAGAAGCTAAGCAACAACTTTGAGAATTTATTGCCGGCTACAGATCGTTTGGTCAAGGCCAAGTCTGATGGCAGTCTGGCCACAGCTGGCTCAGTGGCTGATGCTGATTCAGTGGCCGTGGCAGCTGCATCTTTTAACAAATTGAAATCTCGTTCTCTGGAACCGCTCACCGGCTTGGCCATGTGGTCATCGCAGCCGCAGATTATAGAACTAGTAAAAGGGGATCGCGGCTTGGGCTTCTCTATATTAGATTACCAGGATCCATTGGACTCGAATGATACACTGATTGTCATCCGTTCATTGGTGCCTGGCGGCGTGGCTCAGCTAGATGGCAGGCTAATACCGGGCGACCGTTTGCTTTTTGTCAACTCGATTAACTTGGAGAACGCTTCGCTGGATCAGGCTGTGCAGGCCTTGAAGGGTGCACCCAAGGGCGTGGTGCGCATTGGTGTAGCCAAACCGCTGCCTATGACGGATAATTCGCTGAAGGCTTGCAGCAATGCCAGCACCACTAGCGAAGAGACGTTGGATGCGCAGCAATCCCCACCAGCGTTGCCGACAGCAGCGCCTCCAACAGCCGTCAAGGGCGCAGAGCCGGATCTTATACCCGACTGGAGGAAGTAGATGCTGCCGATCGAAAACTGTTATTATTATTGTATTTGTATTAGGCAAACAATTATGTTATGCACCAATTGTGTTGACCAGAGCCGCCAAAGGAATCGCGGCTCGGCTTGTCCCCAATCATGGGCAACTGCATTCCCAATAATCGCAATATTTTCATTCCCCTTGGAGTATTTGTTAAGTGTGTGTGAATTTAATGTACTTACAACTAAATAAATTATGCAAGTCGTTTACAATATTAGTCAATTGGTATCGATTATGTTTCTATATACAGTGTGATGAGTATCCATTAAAATGGCTGATACCTCGACTATTGCACCCGATTCAACTGTCGTTCGATGCGCATGTAGTTGCGCCTGGAGAGCACACGATCCCTGGCATAGCTCACCAAATAGCTGAGCACTCCGAACACGAATGCAATAGCTTCGAACTTGATGAAATTGCGCTGCTCGATGAGAGCCACTCGATCGCAGCTCTTGGTCACAATTTCGCCGCTCTTGCAGCGCAGCACCTCCTTGTAGTGTGTGTGAATGCAGACGCCAAGACTGCGACTCACAATATCGAATTCAGAGCAGGGATGACACTCCTGGACAACGGTGTAGGTCTCGTGTTTCCAGCAGGTCGAATTATTCTCGATGACATACTTCTCGCCACGACGTCGAG